CACACAGCCATGCCGTTTTTAAAAAGAGACATTAGGTGCAGAGACAGCAACCCCGACCGCTGTCACAGGGAGGGGGGGATCAGGGGCAGAGGAGGCAGTAGCTGGAACATCCTAATAGCCTTTAAGCACGCAATTATCCCTTCATGGCCATGAGGGGCTTGTTAAGATAACACATGGCTGGATCCACCACATAAATAGTCCAATGCCTAAGGAAACTTTATTCAGTAGCATATTGTTCAGTGAAATGTTTAGAGGAGAAAAAAAAATTCACCATACAGGACAGTCTTAACCAGAACATGGACACCATACTTGAAACCTTTGGGCAAGCAGACTCTGACTGCTATAACACTAAACAAGAGCGCACAGCTGCAATCAGTGTAGCATCTAAGACCACGACATCAATTCTGCCCATGAATTCTTGATTATAGCAAACAATTCCTCCCTGGAAAGGAATTATGAAACAAATGTGGCCCGCGGGCCAGCTGAATAACCATAGCAAGGACAGGAGTAAGAATGGAGACAGCCATTAGACAAAAGGGTACTAGGCCTCAAAAGCCTGAGCTATTGAGCCTGTATGACCCTTTATCTTTGCACTTACACGTGATATCTGTAATATAAAATGTTCCCAGAGGGGTAGTCACAATCTCTGCAGCAGTGGAGCAGAAGAAGGATGCTTGGTGCAAGGAACTATAGGCCACTGTACCTCAGGATCTGTGAGTAGAAACCTGCTAAATGCCCTAAGATGGGAGGACTGGGAGATGTTACTTCCTGAATCTAAGAAAAAGAGTCAGGACGTGCACGCACGGAAACCTTCCTCCAAAATGAGGACACGTGCGCAGAATACACTTGTGCAAGGCACAGTACAGGACCACTGAGAGGAAGAACGCACGACACAACAGCAGCATGTCAAGTGCAATCTGGCAGGACAACAGCTGGAACCAAACTACCATTAACCCCTAACTGCACCACCAGAGGAGTAGACAGTGGACTTATCTTACCCCCTCCCCTCCCCCAGACAAGCTGGTAGTGTTAGGGATTTTATAGGGGATGCCACTGCAGAAAGAGTTCAATCACCTGAAGTTAGCTGCATATAACCCACTGAACTTGATTTAAAGAAACCTGTGTTTTTTACTGTGCAATCATGAAATATGAATGTTCAGTTGTGTTTGTAAATTGAAACACTGTTCCCATATGGTTAAGTGACCTTGTCACCCCACAGAGTCATGTTTACCCCATTGGTCACTTGTAAAGCCTGAATGTATGGCAGCCATGTACTGAAAAGCAGCCTCATCTTTGCTCCACAGTATTCCAATACTGGAATAGTCAAACAGACACTTTAATCTCAAGCTTTTCTGTGGTTGCCATCATCTGTTGAAAAAAAAAATCTTAAAAAGTGAAAAGCAAACTCCACACTTTATAACTGTAGCAAACTATATACAGTGCATTCATATAGTATTCAGACCCCCTTCACTCTTTTCAAATTTGCAGCCTGATACTACAGTTTTTCAAATTCATTTTTTTTTCATTAATCTACACTCAGTACCCCATAATGACAAATTGAAAAGAATTTTAAAAATGTTTGCAAAAGCATTAAAAAGGAAAAACTGAAATATCACATTGGCATACGTATTCAGACCCTTTGCAACAACATTTTAAATTTAGTTCAGATGCCTCCCATTTCTCTTGATCGTTACTGACATGTTTCTACACCGTGAGTGGAGTCCACATGTGGTAAATTAAATTGATTGGACATAACTTTGAAAGACACACACCGCTCTATAAAAAGGCATCACAGCTGACAATGCATACTGCATCAGAGCAAAAGCCATGAGGTTAAAGGAAATGCCTGCAAAGCTTAGAGACAAGATTAAGGGACAGACCTGGGGAAAGCTGCTACAAAAATAAAAAAAAAATTGGAGCAGGTACTTAGTAAGAGAGGTGACCAAGAACCCAATGGTCACTCTGACTGAGCTCCAGAGATCCTGTGTAGAGATGGGACAAAGTTCCAGAAGGACAACCATCACTGAAGCCCTCTACTGATCTGGGCTTTATGGCAGAGTGGACAGGATGGAAGTCTCTCCTCAGCGCAGAACTCATGAAAGCCCATTTGGAGTTTGCAAAAAAAGCACCTGAAGGACTTTTAGACTGAGGTCTCTGGTCTGGTCAAGATTCCACAGAACTCAGGACCTCAGACTAGGCCCTAGGTTCACATCTAACATAACAAAGATCCTAAGCACACAGCCAAGACAACACATGAGTGGCTTAGTGACAACTCTGAGAATGTCCTACAGTGACCCAGCCAGAGTCCTGACTTGAATCCTTTTCTACATCTCTGGAGAGACCTGAAAATGGCTGTCCACCGATGGTCCCCAAGAAATCTCATTGAGGTTGAAAGGGTTTGCAAAGAAGAATGGCAAGTATCCAATCGAGGTATGCAAAGCTGGTCACATTAAACCCCAAAATACACAAGGCTGTAATTGCGGTTAAAGGTGCTTCAACAAAGTACTGAGTAAAGGGTCTAAATACATAATATTTCAGTTTTTTCTTTTTAATAAATTCAGACATTTCTAAAATTCTGTTTTCACTTTGTCATTATGGGGTATTGAGTGTAGATTAATGAGAAAAACATGAATTTAAACAACTGTAGTATCAGGTTGCAACATAACAAATTTGAAAAAAATTAAGAGGGTCTGAATACTTTATGAATGCACTGCAGCTGCTGGTTGCTAAAATGCCAAAAACGATAACTACCACAGGTTCATAGTAATAGTGGTACAGGTTTATAGTGAAGTCTTATCTGCAAATCGGAAATAGTGTACATTACCTTACAGGAAGGCAACAGTCTTTAGACAGTGTGCCTTCACTGTCCCAGGCATATGTTTACATAAGTAATGGTTCCAGCAGCTATCAATTCTGCCCATACTTAAAAGTGGGCGAAGATATTAAAGAATGGCTGACTGTGCACATGTGATTCACCCATCTCACAGTGCCTCCTGGCAAGTTACTCTTCTAGACAGGTGTGCTCTACTTACACAATAAGTACCATTTAAGGCAACAGAAGATGGTAGGAGAAGCTGCACACAGATGCCAAGTGCCAGAGAATGCTGAGTCTGGGCAAGTTTGGCTAACCTGCTCTAGTGTTTTTATTACAAGAATACTCGTATAGGGCTGTTTTGTGCTGCAATGAAGGCTGGATTTGGACGCAATCATCATGCATTAAGAGTTAAGTAGTCTGTATTATTGCTGGACATGTTGAGTGGTACAAATGCAACAGAATGGGGTTATTAAAAAAAAAGCACATTTTGTGATGTGTATAGGTTTTTGTATAAATAGGAAATAGGCATTTTTCTGGCCCAGGGAAAAAACTATTCTTGGATATGCAGATTTTCAACACCAATTCTACTGTGCAATATTACAATGTTCTTTATTTTTCATTAATAATTCAGACAGAGAATATTAACCAGTCAACTTTTTTAAAGCTTGCCTAAAGCTAATAAAGAATGTTGCGCTGTAGTAACTGACTAGAATTGTTGTGCCCCTGTAATTAGCTTTAGAATTGTGCTGTCACAGAACCACAATAATTACTACGTTAATTGCAGTTATACTAATGCTAAACATTAACATGCATCCCCAGCCCCCTCTGCAAGTTATATATTCACCTGTCCCCACTCTGACAAGATCTTGGCTGTATGGCCTTCTGAGAAGTGGCTGTGTATCTATGGGAAATTTGCAACGAGTGCAGAAATCTCATGGACAACCAATCTTTTGTGGGAAAACTGATTATTTAACTGCACCTTACTGAGCAAACAACTGTATTACCAACCTCCTCCTAAAAATGAAATTTACCTGGTTTTCTTTTGTGTAATATTTTGAGACACAGACCAAGAACAGGCACAAAGCAGGAAAAATAGATCTAAGGCTGACATATGACTTTTCTGGTTCAGCCTGTGGGCTATACAGCGTGTACAGATGAATATCACGCTGTGCCAGTTGGTCAGCAATGGTGTAAATACACATATCCTCAGAACAGATTTCCTTTAACGTTGGATTTTGCTGAATGATCACCACTGTTTACCTCGTATTAAATTAGTGTCAAGGATATTTTTACAGTGTATAACTATGAACATTTATTGCAAAAAAAAATAAAAAATTGTATGATTATACACTCATAGTACTGTAAAATTATCTCCTGGAAGCTGGCTTTCTCATCTGCTTTTACCTTGAGCTTTCCTACTCTTTTTATAGGTAAATTATTGGTAATGAGTGTGACTTAGACACATTATTGGTAAGGGCAGCTGACTATCAAAACAAAAAGTAATCAAAATGTGTCTGAAAATGTGGCTTTACATAAAGTATTATACAAAATAATTACTTGCGCATATAAGATTTCTTCCCTGGCCATGCGGGATCTACTAAATGGTAGGGGTTGGGGAAAGACCTGGCAACCTACCCTGTAAAATAATTGTTAAGAGAATTCATGGAAAAAGTCACTTACGAGTAACGGTCCATGCAATCACCAAGGGTCGGATAGGACTGAATGGATAGATAGATAAGATTTCTAAAATTAAAAAATGATCAAGCTCTGCCGAGGACCCTTTTGTGTGTTTTGTCTTGTTAGAGAAAGCCAGGAGTAATACAATAGTGCACATCCCCTTGGCTATCTGAGGTTGCCTTAGTGATTTCCATTTGTTTCTTGTTCTTGTATGAATGTGTGGTGAACAATTTCCAGGTAAACTTAGTGGGGCTGATTAAAAATGTTGAAAGTCAGAACAAGGGAAGTAATGAAAGACTGAGATGGCAAGAGGAACCCGAACTGATGACAGCAAAGTATTTACATAAAAATACACCTTAATATCCTCCGGCCAAAGTCAAATTATTTTTTTTTTTACTGAAAGCAAAATAAAACATTTAAATTTCATCTGTTGTCTGATGCATTAAGCAAGCACACCGGCAAGACAATAAAAAGACAATTAAAGCAAAGAATCAAAGAAGCCTGAATATTATTTGAGAAGTTTTGGAACACTCAAAGTTGGCAGGCTTGGAACAATTATATCTTTAAATATTGGTGTGTAATTTGAGCTTTGTTGCCTCTGACTTTGCTCCACAGTTTCTATAATTGTTTGCTTCATTTCTCGGCTTGCATCTCCTCGCATTGCTAGCAGTGCCGCTATATGATCATCTCTGAAAAAGGTCAAAAAGAATTTTAGCTTTAAAGAACATTCTGAGCTAGGATACATACTTGACACTAAACAAGCAATTTCCCTATTTTCACTAGGCAATATGGAAAAACTGCAGTTTATGGCACTGGGGCCATAGCATGTGTACATTAGGGTGCAGGAAGTTTATCCAAAGGGTCTCAACAAAGGGAAAGTGTGCAAACAGGGGGTTCAATATACAGCATTAGTGTTATAGTTACACAGTGATAGGGGCATAGGGCAAGACACTCGCTGAAACTGGAAAATCTATGCAAACTCCCAGCATCAAGCTTTTGGCGCTAAAAGCCATGCTAAAGCTGAACTCTGGAAAACGCCAAAATCTTCCTTTGCAGTGAAGCTACACCTGCACTATAAGGATTAACTGCTTGCTTTTTTGTCTAAGGGACCAGGTAAAGCAGTTTTACTTTTGCCTGATCAGCTGCACTCGCAGGCTCTTTCGTCCTGTTAGACTACTCCCAGCAGGCTCTTCTCTCCTGCACTCTTGTGGCTGAATGCCCCTGATGTCTTTAGGACCAATGCAGGGACTACAGCGCTGCACTGGACATGGGGTACATCTGAGAAGAATGTACCTTACCCATGCTTCCTATACTTGCATTTATACTTGTAATTGCAGCTTATACCTTGGGCTGTACAAGCAGAAATCTATTGCTTTAGGTGTTTATCATGTAGTTTTGACAAGCATGTCTCTCCTATTTAGTCTGTATTTGCTTTTAAAAAAAAAAGAATAAGACTGTGCACTGTGACATACATATTTACAAAAATCAATGAGGATCGCTCTTGGACTTTAGAATAGGGCGAAAACCACAGTCACTCTCATATAGAGAATAAGTAATAAGAAAAAATAAATACCTGAGATCTGGATATCTGGTGACCAAAGTAGAGACTTCTAGGTAAAGAAGTGAAGGGTCTGTAAGCTTTATAACCTCTGCAATAGCTGTAATGGTGTCACATAGTCCATCTGTCTCCTCATTAAATCCCTAAAAGGACAAAAAATGTAAAATATTACTCAGCATTGCTTGACTTAGCATATTCAAGTTTTAAACATGAAAATCCACTTAATCAAGACAACAGCCAAGTAAGGTTTAACCAGATCTTGACTAAATATCAATGATGCATAGATGCTCAGACTATATTGGCAGCATTAATTTGCAGTGCTTGACAACTAAAATACCTAACAAAACAATGTTTACATTGTTCATCAGGACATGCAAGGCTTTACTTTGTTACACAGTTTTAATAAAAGCCTAGCTTATCATTTTTATTAATATATTTATAAACAGCTGAATGTACTAAAATGTTTTAAAAAAACACAGTTTATACAATTTTCTATTTTACTTTTTAATTGTTTTTTTCTGATTGTAATTGACTTTGACAGGAGCAACTGGCCAACTGTAGTTGCTAAAGTTCCAATCTCAGTGCACATTACAATGACAACCAAGCCTTCATGGTTATCAGGAACTAATTATAATGGTTCTGGACTGTTGCGAGATCAGTGCTGTCACTGACAGCATGGTCCGTGATCTAAGAGCATGTACTGCTGCAGGGCTTCCACTTCCAATGTAGAACTTAAACTAACGTCCTCCCCCCATTATGCTCTAGGTATTGTAACTTTAAGTGGTTCAAGTAAACCTCTAAAATGTTTTATGCCAGCAAACGTAACACGACAGCTTTTTTAAAAGGTATCTAACATATTTAAATTCAGAATGTTCACTGCAGTATGGCCCTGGAAATACTATGGAAATGCATAATTTCACAAAGTCAGTATTCTACAAACAGCTAAGCATGTGGGGGACTTCTGCAGTATACTGGGTTGCTGGATAGGTACTCTAGACGTGGCGCCATAGGGTAATCTCTATACAGATGCAGTGTTAGTTTGACAATTTAATACATATTAGAGGTTTACTTATAATTTATGTTCATGTTAAGCTACTGGTGTTTAAAACTAAGTATTCTTTTATTCAAGTCCATAATTATATTTATGTTACGTTACAAAATGTGGTAATTAAAAAGAGTAAACGCGAGAAAACAGCACATAGAAACTCTGAGGTATCTTTATTGGAATAAGCAACATATTCTCAAATACAGATTTTTATTTTACTGCAATGATTTGCTCAATTCTTTTCTAAATGTTTTGTTCTACAATGATGTGAAACTGCATAGGCTATGGTTTATTAATATATATATGTCTATGTTTTTGAAACATACAAATGTATGATGTATGGTATTACCCTTTACCTCAAGGTTTTTAGTGGAATAGCTACAAAAAAAAAAAAAAAAACATCAATATTATAAATTTTATGATAGTTATATATTATAATAATTTGAAGAATTCTTAGTTAGCCCTTGAGAATACAACATAACATAACTGATATACCAACAAACAATGAAGGATTCTGTTAAGGTAAGGATCACTTACGGAAGTTAAACGCTTAAATAAGAATTTGAATTGTTCTGCTTCCTTAATCATACGTTCTGCTCCTTCTTTGCGTTCTTCTGCATTTCTGAAACAAATACGCCTCTGCATGATTGCCTTCAGGTACTCCGTTACTACTTTCCTGTGAGCTTTGATGGTCATTTTCTGCAGATAGTGAAATTTATGTTATATGTTATGTTTTATGTTACAGCTAAAAGAAGCTCAGTGTTTCACCTGTTTACTGCATAATTCACATTGTACTTGATGAAGTACTTTTCTTTTACTAACACAAATGTGCCACTTCCAGAATGGGCCAGGGTGGGACATTACAAACAATGCTAAAGAAGTTTTTTTGTAGGCAGTATGTGCAGAAAAGGCAGGCTGAGGGCACAAGAGGGGGCAGTATGTGCATGAGTGGAGTGTGGAGGGTATGAGAGAGGGAAGTATGTTCAGGAGAGGGGTGTAGAGGCTAAGAGGAGGGCATGCTGAGGACACAAGAGGGGGCAGTATGTGCAGGAGTGGAGTGTGGAGGGTATGAGAGAGAGGAAGTATGTTCAGAAGAGGGGTGTGGAGGCTAAGAGGCTAAGAGGGCATGCTGAAGGCACAAGAGGGGGCAGTATGTGCAGGAGTGGAGTGTGGAGGGTATGAGAGAGGGAAGTATGTTCAGAAGAGGGGTGTGGAGGCTAAGAGGAGGGCATGCTGAGGGCACAAGAGGGGGCAATATGTGCAGGAGTGGAATGTGGAGGGTATGAGAGAGGGAAGTATGTTCAGGAGAGGGGTGTGGAGGCTACGAGGAGGGCAGTATGTTCAATAGAGGAGTAAAAAACATATGACAGTGGAGAGTACATGCAGCAGAGGAGTGTACAGGGCATGATGGGGAGCAATACGTGCAGGGGTAGAGTGTATTGTATAGAAAAGTAAGTAAAAGGGGCAGTGCTTTGTTGCTATAATAGTTTCAGGTACTAGATAGAGCAGTGAAGCCAAGTTCATTTTGGTTCAGGGGTAATGACAGCATGAATTTTTCAATAAATGTGAGGGACTATGACACATACAGACTAGGTACACAGTTATTATACAAGGGCTGGCAGGCAAAAGCACCTGCTGGGGACTTGGTAATGAGAGGTTAAAGAAGAACGTCATGTTTCCAATCAATTTAAAAAGTTAGTGCTGCATTCAGCTTTCCAGGGTCTCGCTCTCCCTATTGGTTCCTGTTGCTGTCGATCACAACCAGTGTGTGTGTGTGTGTGGGGGGGGGGGGGGGCGCTACTCAGCCAAGCTCTGTATGTCTTATAGACTCAAGAGCGAGCACACATGAGTGCCCCCAAAGCATGCAGCTTGTACTTGGCAAGGGGGAGGTGTCATAAACGCTGGCAGGGGACCTGAGAAGAGGATCGGGGCTGCTCTGTGCAAAACCATTACACAGAGCAGGAAGTATGATGTGTTTATTATTTTAAAGAAAAACAATTGCAGCTTTAGATCCATTTTAATATCTGTCTTCTAAGAATCAGAGAAAAATTTGAACATTTAAACCAAATCAAAGTGGATGACAGAAGATAAGTGAAAATGCACAAAAGAGAAGGGAAGCTAAAATCAAGAAAGACAAATATCCTCTAAGAGAGTAAAATTGTGAATTACAAAGAGCTGCTAGGAAGGACCAGGACTGATATTACATTTGTAAAGAGACTGAAGATGCAAATAGAGAGAAAGGCCCATGTAGTAAGTCCCTTCAGAAGAAGTCCGGAAGTTACGAAACGTGTCAGACCACGTGACTTCTGACGTAATTCCGCAAACCGTAAGTGGCGGGCGGCCATTTTGACTGTTGGAAAAGGCATGAATAACGTTCCAGGAAGCTGCTCAGGCTGAGTCATGGGAACATATTGCTGATTTGTATTATCCCCAATGTAAACATTACTATTATATGTTTTATTACCCACTATACTTTGCTACATGGGCCTTTCTCTCTATTTGCATGAGGATGATGGAGTCATAAGGGTTTTCCTTAAGGATTGGAACCCCATACACAGCATTCTGGAGTAGGAGTCTGAGAAGTGACTACAACACCTGAGTGTTCTCTGTTAAGGCTTGAAATTACCTGATCTGGATTTATGGGAATATTGAAGTTGGACACAGGAATAATTTTATTTTGGACTTTATTTTGTTATACGCATTGACTGACACAAAAAAAAGTTTTTTTATAATGCTGGTTATACACCACCAGTTTTATTGTTTCGTGTTATTTAAAAAAAATAAATAAATAAAAGAGCCTTTAAGCTTTAAGAAGCCACAGCCCTGACAGAAAATGCAACACAATCAAGATTGGCAAAGGAATTAGACAAGGCTGTATGCTCTCTCACTATAATTATTCAAATCGTATGCTAAACATAATCAGAGAAGCAGGGCTGTAGGATAATGGTATGTTTTAACCGCTTACTGACCGCCCTATAGCAGTGATTACGTAGTAGTGATACGTGATTTTGTAGTTCCAGGTAGGGAGCGTGTGCGCCGTGCTACCCGCCCCACCATTGGCGGCTTCAACTATCGATCACCGGGTCCCAGCCGGGGATTACCCGGCGATCACCGAGGAACAGTGACAGAGGAGAAGTCTGTATGTAGACAATACAGATCTCTCCCATGTCAGCACCAGCACGCTGCTTTGTATTGCCGAGTGTGCTTACACAGTAAAGCACACACCGACAACAATGTAAAACAGGACACAGCACACAGTTAACCCTTTGATCGCCCCAGATGTTAACCCCTACCTGCCCAGTGTCATTAGTACAGTGTAAGTGGTTTTTATTAGCACTGATCACTGTATTAGTGTCACTGGGGATGTCAGTGGCAGTTAGTTCCCCCCAGTGTCAGAATGCCCATGCAGTCCCACTATAAGACGTAAACCAATAATTTACACATATTGGGATGTTTTTTAGCAAAGGCATGTAGCAGAATACATTTTGGCATAAATTTATGACAAAATTTGATTTTTTTTACTGAATATGTTTTATAACAAAAAGTCAAAAATATTGTTTGTTTTTTTCAAAATTGTTGGTCTTTTTTTTTATAGCACAAAAAATAAAAAAAAGCACAGGCAAGAAAACACCACTGAAAAAAGCTCCATTTGTGGGGGAAAAAAAAAGGACATAAATTTCATTTGGGTGCAGCGTTACATGACCACGCAATTGTCAGTTAAAGTAGCGTGGTTCCGTAATGCAAAAAATGCGCAAAACTGAAAATGTAGACTACTCAAGAACCTAATAAAGAAAGTTAAGGAGCAAAGTAAAATAATTGAACTTCAGGTAAATAGCAAGAAAATTATGACAACAGGAAAAGAGATACAGTGCCTTGAACAAGTATTCATACCCCTTGAAAGTTTCAACATTTTGTCATGTTACAACCAAAAACGTAAATGTATTCTATTGGCATTTTATGTAAAGTGGCACATAATTGTGAAGTGGAAGGAAAATAATAAATGGTTTTCAAAATCTTTATAAATTTCCGAAAAGTGTGGTGTGCATTTGTATTTAGCCTCCTTTACTCTGATACTTCTAACTAAGATCTAGTGGAACCAACTGCCTTCAGAAGTCACCTAATTAGTAAATCCACATGTGTGTAATTTAATTTCAGTTCAAATACAGCTGTTCTGTGAAGCCCTCAGAGGTTTGTTAGAGAACATTAGTGAATAAACAACATCATGAAGGCCAAGGAACACACCAGAAGGTCAGTGATAAAGTTGTGGAGAAGTTTAAAGCAGGGTTAGGTTATAAAAAAAAATATCCCAAGCTTTGAATATCTCACAGAGCACTGTTCAATCCACCATCCGAAAATGAAAAGAGTATAGCACAACTGCAAACCTACATGTCCATCCACCTAAATTGACAGACTGGGCAAGGAGAGCATAAATCAGAGAAACAGCCAAAAGGCCCATGGTAACTCTGGAGGTGCTGCAGAGATCCACAACTCAGGTGGGAGAATCTGTTCACAGGAAAACTATTAGTCGTGCACTCCACAAATCTGGTCTTTATGGAAGAGTGGCAAGAAAAAACGCCATTGTTGAAAGAAAGCCATAACAAGTCCCAATTGCAGATTGCGAGAACCCATGTGGGGGACACAGCAAACATGTGGAAGAATGCTCTGGTCAGATAACTGATCTTTGAATTTTGAAAAACATTTATCATTTTCCTTCCACTTCATATTTATTTGCCACTTTGTGTTGGTCTATCACATAAAATCCCAATAAAATACATTTACGGTTTTGGTTGTAACATGACAAAATTTGGAATATTTCAAGAGATATGAATACCTTTTCAAGGCACTGTACATTAAAAGCTGATGGCATAGATATAGTAGACAGCTTCTGTCTCATTGGATCAGGTATTAAAAAGAAAGGATTCAGCAGTCAAGAAATACAACAGAGTGTGCCTTGGAAGAGCGAGGATGAAAGACCTAGAAAAGATCTTTAAGAGTATTGATGTTTCTTGTAGGTACAAAAATCCAAATTGTCTAGGCTATGGTATTTTCTGTCACTCTCTATGAATGTAAAAGCTGGACAACGAAGAACCAAAACAGGAAAAAGTATTGATGCCTTTGAAGTTTGGTGTTAATGAAGAATACTGTGGACAGTAAAAAAACAAATGGATCCTTCAACAAATCAAGCCAAGAAAAAAAAGAAGATTATCACCAGTAATATGGTTGATAGATTCTGCACAGAAAAATGAACATGCTGTTGCGAGGACCACAACAGACAGATTAGTCTGGTAAAACACTACCTATGTCACAGCCATCAGTCCTAACCAACTAACGGCACCTAATTATAATCAGAAAAAGTAGACTATGCTTTGTATCCAAAACTGTAAGAATTGTGGATGATTGAACTTTGCGGATATTTATCATTTTTCAACATAACAATTACATGACCTAACTTTTTTTACATTGTGCAGCAGGTTGAAAAAAAAAAAAAAAGACACAAGTCCATCTAGTTCAATCAATAGAAAAAATAAATAGAAACGTATCTGCCTTTCACCTTTCCAATCCCCCCCCAAAAAAAAAGCGCAAGTGACATTACTTACACCCAAACTGATATCTCCTATGTGCTGCAGGCTCCTGCTTTTGTTTAAATCTTTCATCCACCGATGCCCCCCTCTATCCCTACAATCTACCTGTGCAACGGAGTTAATGGAGCCGAGGGATCTGCCATATGCACTCATCAAGAGTGCCGACTATACCCACCTCTTTATATTCACAGAAGCGATCTATGAATAGAGGATGCAGACCTTTCATTCGTTTGCTGGTCCTCCATTTATAGGTAGCTTTTTTTGCCACTGCCCAGAGGAATTTTGCCGATAAAAGATTGTATTACAATCCCACGACTACATGGTTTCACAGTTTTCTTCAAGTTCCAATCAGTCTTATGAGGTTCTGTTACAATCTTTCAAGAAACCATGATTTCTGGAATGCCACATACCTGTTGGTAATGGGGTTTGATTTTTGCAAAGTCGTTAAAGTAATCTTCTAAAGTGACACATATGGTATCTACAGAGTTAGATCCTCCAAGCCATTTCTTTGTCATTAGGTCATTCAGATGTTGCTAAAGGATAAGGAATTATACAGTTACACAACTTCTTGAATTACATGACATTGAAATATGCATTTTAAAAATAGCCAATTTTTCCTACATTACCTGACCAGTCACCTTAATTTTGACCTGCTTATCCACTAGAATGGCACATTAAGTTTTGCATTAATATGTACAGATGTCGCATGTCACAGGTCAGTAAAGTAGAAAATATTGCTGAACTACCTTGTAGGGAATTTGTAGAGTCTGAAGGCACTTCTGGAATCCAAGGTCGGAGTATTGTCATTGCACCAAATACCTTACCAGGGGCAGACTGACCATTTGGAAACTCGGGCACTGCCCGAGGGCCCGGGGTCAGTAGGGGGCCCCATGAGATGCCCATGGTACCATTTTCATAGGCTTTTTTTAGTTTGGGCAAGGACACAGGGGCCCCATGATCCCCTATTGCCCGGTGGCCCCATGAGTTGTCAGTCCGCCCCTGAACCTTACCTACTCTTTTCCTTTTCTTCTTCTTTGACTACACCCCCAGACTAGTTATCTGGAGTCCAGGAATTCTTCTACTTAAGGGGGGAGATGTAAAGGCCTATTCTCAGGATTCCTACTCTTTTGTATGTTATCATTGGTTGATTTAGATGGATAATAACTCCCTATTAAACATTTGTGTCTGTTTGATATGCATTACCTGAAATCTGCCGATAGAAACTATTGGAAACGAAAATATTGCTTAATTGTTTCAACCTAATGAGCAAATAGGGAATATTTAGGTTTATATAGACAGTGGATGTACCACTAATTAACATTCACATTACTGACACCTGGTTATGACAAGTAGAAATTGTTAGGGGTCCCACACAAAAATAATATAAATTGCACTTTATGTCATTGCAAGTAATGTGGCAGTTTTGCTGCAGTTGATATTATGTCAATGCACCAATTTGATTGGAAAGAGTGTTTCATTCAAACCAAACCATAGTAATACCTTAAAATAGAATTATAGGCAAAACTTTTTTCATTTTGGATAGAGGAAGGGAGATTTATAACGAGTTTTTTTGCCATCCGTTTCCCATTGAGGTGATTTTCCCAGCACTTGCTGTCCCATAGCCAAAACACAAAGTGAGAGGAGATCCCTGAAAATTAAGGAAAACCCTTGGGGACCCAAGATCACCACAAAAGTTGTCTCATTCAAAGATTTTCACTCTATGCCTGTTCTGGGGACAACCCAAAATTTGGGGGTTTCTTTTTACTTTCAATGATAAACAGGACAAATAGGGTGGATATCCCGAAGGAGGACACAGACACAAATAAAAACCTCACAGGGGTTCTAATCCTCCACTCTGTCCAAACCTAAAAAAAAAAAAAAAAAAAAAAAAAAAGTTTTGCCTTTAGTTACAGTAAACATGTTTTCACCTCTAAATCCAAAAAAACTTCATCCAACAAACTTCTGCATCCCTCGCTTGCAATGTTGTCTAAAATGGAGTCCATATTTGCTGAGCCAGATGCTATAACATCCTCTTCACTTCTTAAGTATTTCCTTTTCAGACTTACAATGGATTCCCTAAAAAAAACAAAAAACATTGGCCATTAATCACTTCAGCCCTAGAAGGTTTTTGGCACTGCGCTATTTCAACTGGTAATTGTGTGGTCATGCAACGCTGTACCCAAAGGAAATGTATGTCCTTCTTTCACACAAATAGAGCTTTCTTTTGGTGGTATTTAATCACCACTGGGTTTTTTATTTTTTGTGATATAAACCAGTGGTCTCCAAACTGCAGCCCGGGGGCAAAATGTGGCCCTTGTTTGTTTTATCCAGCCCTTGGGGCACTATTCTATCCACTGACACCAACAATGGGCCATAATTTCTGTCGCTGATACCAACAGTGGTTCAGTATTCCTTCCACTGACACCATTGAAAGGGCACAATTCCTCCCACTGACGCCAATGAGGGGGCACTATTCTGCACACTGACACAAACGATGGGGCAGAATTCCTTCCATTGGCACCAATGATGGGGCACTAGTCCTCCCACTGAGAACAACGATGGGGCACTAGTTCTCTCACTGCCAAAGAGAGGGTATTGTTTACACCCACTGGATGCCAGGACATTTTCTATTTCCACTGACCCGGCCCCCTATAAATTCTCAAGGACAGTACACTGGCCCTCGGTTTAGAAAGTTTGGAGACCCCTGATATAAACGAAAAAAACACAATTAAAAAAAAATCAAAATTTCTTGAGGTGCTAAATCACCAGGGCAGTACAACTCCCCCCCCCCCCCCCCCCCCCAATGACCCCTGTTTCGAAAAAGTAGACAGCCCAAGGAATTTGCTGAGTGCCATGTTGAGTCCATGGAAGATTTTATACCACATGTGAGAGACTCTGGCCTAGCAACATACGGGCCCCCAAAATCCAATGACCACCTTCAGATTTTCAAAGGGCATATTTCCTAATGTCACATCCACACTACCTATCACAGCTTTGGAGGCCCTGAAATGCCAGGATAGTTTTTTTTTTTTTAATTACTTTATTTTTTTGTTTTTTTCACACTGTCCCTTTAATTTATTTTTTTTTTTAATAACTTTTTTTGTTATCACAGGGAATGTAAAATATCCCCTGTGTAAGCAATGTGAGAAATGTGAGAAATCCGGGGTCTATTCAGTTCTAGATCTCTCCTCTGCCCTTAAAGCATCTGATCACACTAAGATCGATGGGATCAGATGCTTTTCCAATTTTAAAATGGTACTGTTAATATCTGGTGAAACCGAAAGGATGAAATGCTCATTGCTTCCGGTTTCTAAGACCATAGAGATGATTGGAGCCATTCCGGTCTCCAATCAGCTGTATGGTCAGCCAGTTGAACTACTGGCTGAAATTCTCGGGTTCCCCAGTGGGATGGGAGAGCCCAAGAAAGCCGTGGAAGGCAGCAGGAGGGGCGGACGTTCCTTCCCGCTGTTTATAAAAGTGACCAATCAGTTAATTAGCTGCTAGGATTGCTTTTACATGATAGCCGACTGCCAACTGAAAAAAAATGATACCAGGATGATGCCTGTAGCTTCAGGCATCATCCTGGTATAACCACTCAAGTTCCAGCGACGTACCAGTACTTGTTGAGCATATATAGTATGTAACAACAGAGAACATGGGCATATAATGAATCAGGTCTGTGGACCATATGACCAGAATTCATTCTTTTTTGTAATGCGGATTAGGCCCAAAAAAGTTTCAAAATTGGAAACCATGATAGGTTTCCATGCAAATTGTCTGGCAAGAGCTGAATTTGGGTGAGTGGCATGTATTGTTGTGCATATGCATTGCTTTGGCACACAATCAATTAATACAAATCTACCATGAAAAACAGCCGAGGGGGTAAACGCTAGTGCTGGCAGCGAATGGGGCTGCTCCTGCTAACACTGCATTTTTGGGGACACTATACTATAGTTCTGAGGCGATCTAATATTTGTACAAACACACTATAGTAATGGAGGTGATCAGCGATATAGCAGCGGGAGGAGACCAGAGAGAGAGGGGAGGATCAGCAGAGCGGGTGGATACTATTGAGTGGTGGATCAGCAGAGCTGGGGGTTACTACAGAAGGGGGGATCAGCAGAGCAGGGCATTTGCCAAGCTTCATTAAAGCTTCAAAAAAGCTTCACCAAAGTATCAAAAACACATAAAAAAGCATGCTAATGCGGCACATGCTGTAATGTGTGTTAAAATTGAAGCAAGTGTAAATAAGCCCTAAGGGTCCTGCCCCAACCTAGCTACTTCTGTCAACAGTCTACAACAGGTCACTGTCATACTCCCTGGACACACTGGCCCTCCTCAATACACATAGAATCAGGCCTGGACTCCTACAGCCTTGACAAACAGACAATGCCAGAAGTTTCAAAAACCGTAGCAGTCTGTGGCGTAAGACTAAGTCTCAGCCCTCCAGAAATACAATTCCTGCCTCCACATTGCCAAACAGATCTATTTTAACACTCTCTCACTCTCTCATCCAGTCCCCATAAACTCTTTTCTACCTTTAACTCTCTACTTCGTCCTCTACTGCATCTCTCTTGCCACTCAATCACTGCCCAGGAGATCGTTAATCACTTCAAAAGGTAGATTGATACAACTTGTGATGAGATCTCCACCATACAGATATCTCCCCCACTTAACATTCCATGTTCACAGGTACAGTCAATACTGGCCTCAGTTAACCCTACTACTACAGACAACATTATTGAACTTTTTTTTCTAATGCCCACCTAACCACCTGCCCCCTTTTCCCTCACAAATACTAGTCAAGTTATCCTCTGACCTTATCCTACACTCTGTAACTCACATTATTAATCTCTTCCTCTGTTCTGCCATCTTCCCATACTCTCTAAAATATGCACTGGTCACCCCCATACTGAAAAAGTCCTTGCTGTATCCCACCTCCTTGCTCCCTTTTACCTCCAAACTCCCTAAATGCCTGGTCTACAACAGCCTGAGTTAGCACCTCACTGAAAATATCTCCTAAAACTCAAATTACTTATTAACAACTAAGACCAATCTTTACTACCCTGTACTCCTGATTTTGGACCTCTCTGCTGCCTTTGACATAGCTGCCCACCCCCTCCTAAAAAAAAAAAAAAACCACAGCTCCTTTGTTTTCCCGTGATTGTACAGTTGTGTTCAAAATAATAGCAGTCAGACATCACTAACCTGATCAATCACTGTTTTTGGTAGAAATGATATTTCTACATGGCAAATAATTTACTAGCAGGTGTAGTAGAGTAATAGAAATCCAACAGACCCAACAGTCATGACATGCATGCTGCTGATTCTGTGTAACTGAATCACTAATTGAAAGGGGCATGTTCAATATAATAGCAGTGTGGAGTTCTATTAGTGAGGTCATTCATTCTTTGAAAAAACAGGTGGCAATTATTGCCCTTATTTAAGGAAGGAAGGCAGCAAATGTACATGCTGGTTACAGTGCATTTCTCTCTGAAATTGTGAGGAAAATGGGTCGTTCCAGACATTGTTCAGAAGAACAGCGTACCTTGAATAAAAAATTGATTGGATTGGGGAAAACACATAAAGAAGTGCAGAAAATGATAGGCTGCTCAGCTAAAATGATCGCAAATGCTTTAAAATGGCAACCAAAACCTGAAAGACGTGGAAGAAAGCGAAAAAAACTACCATTTGAATGGATAGAAGAATAGCCAAAATGGCAAGGACTCAGCCAACAATCAGCTTCAGGAAGATCAAAGAAGGTCTAAAGTTACCTGTGAGTACTCTTACAATTAGAAGACGCCTATGTGAAGCCAAGCTATCTGCAAGAAGCCCCCGCAAAGTCCCACTGTTAAAAAAAAGACGTGCTGAAGAGGTTACAATGTGCCAAAGAACACATTGACTGGCCTAAAGAGAAATGGCGCAACATTTTGTAGACTGATGAAAGTAAGATTGTTCTTTTTGGGTCTAGTGGCCGAAGACAGTTTGTCAGACAACCCCCAAACACTGAATTCAAGCCACAGTACACTGTGAAGACAGCGAAGCATGGTGGTGCAAGCATCATGATATGGGGATGTTTCTCATACTACGGTTTTGGGTCTATTTATCGCATACCAGGGATCATGGATCAGTTTGAATACATCACAATACTTGAAGAGGTCATGCTGCCTTATGCTGAAGAAGATATGCCCTTGAAATGGGTGTTCCAACAAGACAACGACCCCAAACAAACCAGTAAACGTGCAACATCTTGGTTCCAGACCAACAAGATTGATGTTATGGAGTGGCCAGCCCAATCCCAGGATCTTAATCCAATAGAAAACTTGTGGGGTGACATCAAAACTGCAGTTTCTGAGGCAAAACCAAGAAATAGAGAAGAACTGTGGAATGTAGTCCAATCATCCTGGGCTGGAATACCTGTTCACAGGTGCCAGAAGTTGGTTGACTCATGCAAACACAGATGTACAGCAGTTCTCAGAAACAGTGCTTATACAACTAAATATTAATTAAGTGATTCAAAGGAAAGCAAAATCTTCAAACATTTTCAGTTTATATAGTGAATGTTTGAGTTTGTAAAGAAGAATACAAAACACTGCTATTTTTTTGAACAGTCTAATATTCACTTTTCTTCAATTTTTTTTAGAGGAACAACACAAATTTGATATATTTTTCTTCATGTTTTGATTTGGAATAGAATGTGTAGTGTTCCCAATGCATTTGTGTGTATGGAAATAAAAGCTATTAGAAGGATTTTGAACTTTATTCACTTTTTTCAACACACTGCTATTATTTTGAACACAACTGTACTTTTAGTTGGTTCTCATCTATCCTACCACACCTTCAGTGTCACTTAAAATTATACCTCCTCCTGTCCTCTTCCCTTATTCAATAGAGGTGCCCCAACCTTTTGTTCTTGGACCGCTCTTATTCCCAATCTAAATGTCCTCCCTCACATGGCAATCAATACCATTTCTATGCTGATAACACCCAAATCTATGTTTCTACCCCTCAGCTCACTCCATCAGTCTCCTCACAAATCACTAATTTACTGATAGACACATCAGTCTGGATGTCAG